AAAAAAAACTCGATTCCTCCGCATTGTATCTCAAGTTTAACTTTGGTGAATAAGAAAACATATATTATGAAATTTTTTTTTTATAGGGTTCGACATAAATGGTTACGAGATATCAAAATATTAGTAAAAAAAAATATTAAGTAACGTTTTTGGCCCCCTTACTATTGAGAAAAGCCTCTTTTAAGTTTTTATATCGAAAAAATCTCTTTTTTAATACTTAAATGTTAAAATCCAACCCATTTTTGGTCCTTTCATTAAATTTTGCTCATATAACACGTTATCTTAATAACAATTACTGATATAGACATTCCACCGTGTAAAAATGCTTACTTATACTAAATAACACCCTTCCATGTCACTCTTTTCGTGCAAAAAAAAACCTTAATCAAACATTCTGAAATTCTCCAGATATCATTTTCCTTCTTTCAAAATTCTCGTTTTCCATTCATAATGAATCCTTTACATGTGAGTTCGATCAAGATAAAATTCTCAGATTTTCAATCCTTTCCTTGTCTGTTAACCTATGTCATGTATAAACCAAGCTATGAAATTCATAGTAACATAATCGCAACAACATTAATCTATCACTAGCAGTTTCAAACCTAAATATCAAACACAAACTCAGAACTTAACATCTTTAATTCAAAACCAAACATGAAATTTTAGTTTCAGTTTCATTCAACTTAGATACATTCAAAATAAAAAAAAAAAAAAAAAAAAAGAAAAAAAAAAGATCGAAACCTAGTTCAGCTCCGAGTGGAACCCAAAAACTGGGTTCCGCGCAGAACCCAGATCTGGGTTCCAAGAGGTCTGGGTTCCAAGAGGGATGATGAAGAGGGATGATAAAGAGGATAATGAAGAGGATGGCAAAGAGAATGGCGAGGATGAGGATGAGGAAAAAGAAGAAGATAAAGAAATTATAGTTAATTTCGTTTAAATTCATTTAATTTATGAATTAAAAAATAAAATTTTTAATTTGTACATGCGGCACAAAATGCTTACATGTACCTATAATTTTCTCCACCTAATTTCAACATCATTTATAATAGGCAAAACCATAAGTTAAGCCCCTGAACCAACCCCAGAATCGCTATTAAGCCCCTAGACTCTAATTGATGCATATAAGCCCTTGAACTCTACAATCCGAGCAATTTTGCCCCTCCTCTCACAGTCAACTTAACTGCTGTTAACTGCCGTTTGAGGACTGCATCGTGTGGCGAAATGTGGCTG